TCCCAAGTTCGTTCCCATGTGAAAATGAGCGATTCCTTATTTAAAGAAGTAATTCGTTGAAACTGTTGATACTTCTTTAAAATCTCCAGTCTATTGTTGATGGTAGTGAATAAACAGTTGCTCATTTGTCAAATTAATGTCATTACCGCTTGCAACGATAGTAACGTAATAACTAATCATTAAGTGTCCTTAAGCCTATTCAAAGGATGGGCCCGTTGCCATAGCCCTTTTTTTAAATAATTAAACTCTTCCTGTGAAAAAGTAAAAAATCAATGGACTCGTTCGTTAGTGGCTCCTTCTTTGCTATCAAACATCTGTCATCCTTATCTCTTCCCCTTCTTTTTTGTGTCGGTTAGGTTACTCTCTTGTAACACCTCTAACCTTTGGAACTTATGTGACTTAATTGTGTTGCAAGTGTCGTAAAACTCTTACTAAAACTAAATTAAATATCTTGTAGGCTCAGAAAAAGAATAGCCCATTGCCAAACTCTTCTTGCAGAAAAAGGTAAAAGATTTATACAGAGACCTCGGGTAAACTGCGACACTGAGGGCCCATGCCCTGGAAGCCCTGACAATGGAGGTGAAAGTTAGTGACACTTTTATTCCACAGACCCAGTATCCGACACGCTCCTTGGGACCCTCTCTAAGAATGTCTTGCTTTCTTGAACTACACGCACACATATCTAGACTTCCCTCTGAACTGAGAAAACCTTACCTTTGAACTCAACTTTGCGGGTGGTTGATGGGTGCTCTGATATGGTTTGCTCCTTTCACGTGAAACTTTTCTTGTCCTTGTCTCACCTCCTTTTTTGTGTTTGTTACTATTTTGCAAGACCTCTAATCTTAGGCACCTATGTGGGCCTCGTTGTGTTTCAAGTGCCGTAAAAAAAACCTCTTATTAAAATTAAATGAACTCAACCTTCCCTCACTTCTGAGCCCCGCCCACATTTTGATCCGCCCACGCAACGGGGTACATCTCGCTGTCTGATAACGGACGCGCCAAAGCTACAAGTGATACGAGTGCCCAGCAGACGGCCTTGCTAACTATAACGCTAGTGATGACGTCAGATTCAAAGATAACAACCAAAACAAGACATGTTACAGAGTAGCTGCTTTGTCACCTGTTACGATTCGGGGTAGGCGGTAAGCCACTATTCCGTGATAGATCTGGCGGAAGCAGGGACGGGTGCTTTTTCTCTCTTCTTGTGGTCACGGAGATGATTCCAGCACTGTAAGGTCTGTCGGACTGTCGGGTTTATTTGTTTTATTCCAGCATTGCCTCTGGTGTTTGTTCCTTTTTTCAGTTCCAGCACTGCTAAAGTTGGTCAATTTCGTATCAATAAAAATAAAATATATACTGCCGGTCAAAAAAGGCACCACTTCTTGATTGTGTAAAAAAAAAAAAAAACCTAGTCTTTTCAACTTTATTACTTTTCTGTACGTGAGTAATAAAAAGTACTCTTTAAAGAAAGTTCATATTATAAAAAGCATTTAAAATGTTAAAATAGCACTCACAGTCGCACCGCCAACCGTACCAACAAAATCGCCGTTTTTCCGACCACGTGGGGGATTTTGTTTTCCTTTCTTTGAGTTTTTTAAAATAAAGTTTAAGCCTGTGTTTATCTAAAGTCGTAAAACTATTTGACCATTGTCATTCAAGAAAGATGTAGAACTAACTCAATATCCAATAAATCGAGCTATCGTCATGCTCCGCGTGTTTATGCTGTTACCATAATATCCAATGCCAATGGAAAAAAAGAACCAGACTTTTTTTAGGTTTTAGTAGAGGTTTTTCTCGGCGCTCGCAACTGCATAAGGTCATATGAGCGCCAGAAGATCAGGGGTGTTACAAGAGAGTAACAAACATAAAAAAAGAAGGAGGGGAGATTAGGACGATAGAAGTTTGATAGGAAAGAAGAAGCAAACCACACCAGAGCACCCGCCAACCACCCACTAACCAGACTTTAAAAATTTTCGTGTCAGATCGCAGAACAATTACATTCTGAACTCAAAGAATATTTTTTAAGTGGTTCGTTGACGAGTACTCTGGTGTAGTTTGTTCCTTCTGTCCTCTCAAACATCTGTCGTCCACATAAAATTTCTCCTCCTCCATTTTTGTGTTTGTTGCCGGCTTGTAACACTTCTAATCTTCGGTAATTATATGACCTTATATAGTGTTGCATGTGCCGTGCGTAGAACTCTTACTAAAATTACAGTAAAGAGCACAAAATCTGTTGGAAGCAGGGTCGGATGTTTTTCTCTCTTCCTACTTTCCCTGAAACGATTCCAGCACTGAAAGGTCTGTCGAGCTTAATTATTTGTCTTTAATATCTCACCTCCCTGTATTTTGTCGCTGATTTTGAAACGGAAAAGGTGATTGGCAGGTCCGAACTTGCAAAAAGTTGTATAAGATGTGCTTTTTTGTGTGTGTTTTTATTTTTATTTTATTTT